CATGCTGGCTGAGGAATTCTGGGAGTTGAAGTCCACAAGCCATGAGGGGGCCATAGTTCTCCCATGCTGGCTGAGGAATTCTGGGAGTTGAAGTCCTCAAGTCATGAAGGGGCCATAGTTCCCTCATGCTGGCTGAGGAATTCTGGGAGTTGAAGTCCTCAAGTCATGAAGGGGCCATAGTTCCCTCATGCTGACTGAGGAATTCTGGGAGATGAAGTCCTCAAGTCATGAAGGGGCCAAGTTTGAAGACCTCTGGCTTAGTCTAACCTCGGGGCTGTTGTTTTCAAAGCAATCTTGGGAGGCAGGGAATGCCGCCTCCTACTCTTCCCACCTCTGTGCAAGCAAAATCTCGAAGGTTACCCACAGATTAGCCAGGCTTGTAATCTCAGTGGGGAGGGGAAGGGAGTTTGGGCTGGACCAGGAAGTCTAATCAAAAGGAGGAACAAGATCAAAGGAAAAAGCAGCTTACATTCTCAAGGGCACCAAGAAGGAAAAGCTTTTACTGAGACTTTGAACCTTCTCCAGACTTCAAATGCTTCAGAAGGCGGGTGTCAGATGTTGCTTAACCCTGGTTGACCACCATCTCCAGTTGTGTAGAGCTAATGTCTTCCCTCCAGACAACGCTATAGAGCAGGGGTTCCAAACTTGGCCCTTTGATGATTTGTGGACTTCAACTCCCAGAATTCCTCAGCCAGGCTTGCCTGGCTGAGGAATTCTGGGAGTTGAAGTCCACCAGTCATCAAAGGGCCAAGTTTGAAGACCCCTGCTATAGAGCATTGCACAGCAGAACAACTAGACGCAAGGATAGGTTCCCCCCACCCCACCCCGTGCATCCCTCTGCTAAACAACTCATTCCCACAACACTGTCAAACTATCCAGTACAGCTGTGTGACTGTTCTTCTCCTCGTCTTTCCTGTTACCTATCTCCTTATCTTCTTTTGACTTATAACTTTGTTACTTCTTACGATTTATATTAATTGCTTTATTTAGTATCCTAATATGATTTACCTTGTTTGCTTATTAGGTGTCCTATGACTATCGCTGAGGGTTGCATCTTATAATTTATGATGATTTTTTTAATGTTGATTATGATCATGATTTATCACCTGTTATTTTGTATGTATACTGAGAGCTTATGCACCAGAGACAAATTCCTTGTGTGTCCAATCACACTTGGCCAATAAAGAATACGTCCATTCCACTCCACTACATTCCATTCCACTCCATTTCCATTCTATTCTGTTCTATTCCACTCCATCTATTCTGTTCTGTTTTGTTCTATTATTTCCCATTCTATTCTATTTTATTTTATTCTGTTCTATTCTATATATTCTATTCTATTCCACATTTTCTGTTCTATTCCATTCCATTCCATATTTTCTATTCTATTCTATTCTATTCTATTCTATTCCACATTTTCTGTTCTATTCCATTCCATTCCATATTTTCTATTCTATTCTATTCTATTCCACATTTTCTATTCTATTCCATTCCATTCCATATTTTCTATTCTATTCTATTCTATTCCACATTTTCTATTCTATTCCATTCCATTCCATATTTTCTATTCTATTCTATTCTATTCTATTCCACATTTTCTATTCTATTCCATTCTATTCCATTCCATATTTTCTATTCTATTCTATTCTATTCTATTCCACATTTTCTATTCTATTCCATTCCATTCCATATTTTCTATTCTATTCTATTCTATTCTATATACTATGCCATATTCTATCCTACCCTATTCTCTCCTATTATATTATACTCTATATTCTATCCGATCTTCTATTCTACTCTAAAGGTATCAGCCGAGGCCCAAATGGCTAAGTGAGATTTGCCCCATTTCACGCCCTTTCTCGCCACAGTTGTTAAACGAATCACTGCAGTTGTGAAGTTAGTGGCCTGCTTGTTCAGTGAATCTGGCTCTTCCCCATGGATTTGGCTTGTCGTTGTGGCAAAAGGGGAATCACGTGAGCCCCAGACGCTGCGACCGTCATAAATACGAGTCCGTTGCCAAGCGTCTGAATTTTGATCACGTGCTGCAAGTTTGTGGAAAACAGTCGTCAGCCTCTCTTTCCGGTGCCGTTGTTACTTTGAACGGTCGCTAAATGAATGGCTGTAAGTCGAGGACTGCCTGCATTCCTCCTTCGTCTACGCGGGGCTTTAATTTCCCAAGAGAGAAAAGATATTTTCTGCGGTTTCTCCTCTCTCCCTCCGAGCGAACGGTCCTTGCCTTCACGCGTTTCCTGCGACCTGTTTTGTTTTAGCCCTTTGCTACATACCTGAAAGTTCTGCAGGTGATGGGATTTTTATCAGCCCTGCAACATCAGCCTAAAAGGCAGGGTAGAGTTCGAAAACTTAACGCCCTTCACAAAGCTGAAGGAAGCAGTTGGAAACCTGTAGTGTGGCCTAAAAGCATCCTAGTCCTTCCTGGGCCCCGTGCATGTTGCCAAACCTTGGCTGTGGCTTGCTTCTAAGGTTCTTGCTTAAAAAATATGCAGAGAGGGAGATGGCTGGTTTTAAAATGAGAGAGAGAGAGAGAGAGAGAGAGAGAGAGAGAGAGAGAGAGAGAGGTGGATGGAAAGAGATAGAAACATGGATGGATGGATGTCTCTGTGTATATAGATGGGGAAAGAGAAAGAGGTGGATAGATAGGGATAGAGGCATGGATAGATGAATGGGTGGCTCTGTGTGTGTATAACAGAATAACAGACTTGGAAGGGAGCTGGGAGGTCCTCTAGTCCAGCCCCTTGCTCAAGGAGAAAACCCTGTACCATTTCAGACAAAGGGTTATCCAATCTCTTCTTAGAAACCTCCAGTGTTGTACCATTCACAACTTCTGGAAGCAAGCCCTTTCACTGATTGTGTGTGTGTAGAGAGGGGGGGGAGGGAGGGAAGGAGGAAGGAAGGAAGAAAGAGAAAGAAAAAAGAAAGAAAGAAAGAGAAAAGGAAGGAGGAAGGAAAGAAAATGAAGGAAGAAAGAAAAGAAGGAAGGAAAGGGAAGGGAAGAAAGAAAATAAATTTCTCTTGAAGGAGTGCCCCTGTGCTTTGGGGGGCAGGGTGCCTTGAAGTAATGCCCGATGGTCTTCGATGCCGCAGCCCCCCCCTTGCCCCCAGCACACTCTGTCCAGCCAGGGCTCTTAAGTCCTGAGTAAACCAGTTGTACAACTTGTTCTCTCCTTTTTATCTCTTTGCAGGAGCCTAGCAATAAACGTGTCCGGTCACTGGCCCGGGTCACCTCTTTGGCAAACCTGATTTCGCCTGTACGAAATGGTGCCGTGCGTCGCTTCGGGCACACCATACAGGTAGGTAGGTGCTTGAGCAGCGGGCTGGACTAGAAGACCTCCAAGGTCCCTTCTAGCTCGGTTCGATATTCAGGTGGGCGAGCGAGCCCGACCTGTGTGTGGCAGAGGTGGTTCCAGGAGCTTCTGATCTCAGACAGGATTTTTGGCGCCCGTCTCTGGTGCCAGGATGTTCCCCTTTTTTAAGAAGCTTTCTAAGTCGCACGAATCTGAAGAGGGAGGAACGAAGCAAAGTTGACGATGTGGGTGTGTTTTTTTTGCTCCAAAGCTGCCTGTCCGACTCTAAACGGACTCCGGGTGGTTTGCACTTAAAATAGAACAGTGGTTCTCAACCTGTGGGTCGGGATCCCATTTGGGGTCGATCGACCATTTCACGGGGGTCGCCAAGCAAGGCTGTCCGCCATTTTTTCCCCCTTTTCCGGCGGGTGCCTTACCTCCCTTGAGCTGGGCCAGCTGGTGGCCGGCCTGCTCTGTCTCTGCCACTTGCCAGCTACGCTTCGGCCGGCGCAGGGGGCGGAACCACGCATGCGCGGCGCTCCCGGGCAGGGAAAGTCCTCGACTTACGACCGGTTGGGTAGTCCTCGACTTACGACCGGTTTAGTCCTCGACTTACGACCGGTTTAGTCCTCAACCTACGACCGGTTGGGGTCGCGGCATTAAAAAGGTTGAGAACCACTGAAATAGAAGAACAATGCAATAATAATAATAATAACAACAACAACCACCCCGATGAGCCACAAATAACTGGCTAGAGACACACACATAAACACACACACACACCGAAACCTGGAAGAAAAGCCAGTTTTTGAAAGTTTTCTGGAATATTTTCAGGCTGTTTTGAGACCTCCTTCTGCTTTTACTTACTGGTCTGGAAGATGTTCTGGGCTTTTCAGAGGGCAAACGAGGATTTCCACCTTCCTAACGACCGGTGGTTTCGGATTCTTAGGCCGCCGTTCCGTGCAGAAGTAAAAAAAATAAAAAATAAATCGGGGGGGGGGGTATTGCAGGAATAGATGAGAGCTGCAGGGTGAAATTTCCCCCTTTGGGTTGCTGTCATTTTGTAGGGGTAAACAAATCAGAAGCCCAGGCCGATTTCACGGTGGGCCAAGCCAGAGGGAGAAGTGGGGGGATTGGGTTGTCGACCTGCATGCGTGGAGACTGAAAGCCCCCTGTGACATATTGTTGTAGGTGTGGAAGCTTGGTTGTCCACCATGGGGATGCTCCCCCGGCAGAATCTTTTGTGTAAGAAGTTCAACCTGCTTTCTCTAGCGTAGGGGTCTCCAACCGTGGCCACTTTGAGACTTGTGGACTTCAACTCCCAGAATTCCTCAGCCAGCATTTAGAATAGCATAGGAAAAGAATAGAATAGAATAGAATAGAATAGAATTACAGAATAGAATTACAGAATAGAATTACAGAATAGAATTACAGAATGGAATAGAATTACAGAATAGAATAGAATTACAGAATAGAATAGAATAGAATTACAAAATAGAATAGAATTACAGAATGGAATGGAACAGAATAGAACAGAATAGAATTACAGAATAGAATTATGGAATGGAACGGAATAGAATTACAGAATAGAATAGAATTACAGAATGGAATGGAATGGAACAGAATAGAACAGAATAGAATTACAGAATAGAATTATGGAATGGAACGGAATAGAATTACAGAATAGAATAGAATAGAATAGAATAGAATAGAATAGAATAGAATAGAATAGAATAGAATAGAATAGAATAGAAAACTTTATTGTCACTTTAAATGTACACTAATCAGCATACATTAAAATGAGATTTCTTTGCCTGCAGTTCTCAAAGGGTAACCAGCTCCAATATACCTTGCCTAAACATGATCAAAAATAAATAAATAAACTATGCATATACCCACATAACACAGAGATACGTGGCCCAGAGAAACAACACAGTCTAGTTCGGATGTATACACACACACATATGGCAAAGAAAAAAAACGAATCTTGCCGGTTTACCAGACGGAGGGAACCAAACTGCCCAGGCTGCAAGGGTTTGAAAAAAATAAAATAAACGGAATGTCTTAACGCTCACCGTTGCTAACGGACTGTTTCTCTCTCTCCCCCCCCCCCATCTGTTCCTCCAGTCGTTCTCCCTCCGCAGCGACAACAAATCCCCAGCTAGCGGTCAGAAGCTGTGCAGCCGGCTAACGGCCCCCACCCCTCCCAAAAGACGGAACAGCGTGCTCTGGTCTGAGACGTTGGACGTCACCATGAAGGAGACGCTCAGCACCAAGGAAATCAAACGCCAGGAGGTGAGGCTGAGCTTGGAGCAGCGGGATGGCCCTTGGGTTGAGCTCGGCTCAGGGAATGGCGCCTGCAGGAGCCGGTCCTGAAGCTTCTCCCATTTTTATTGGTGCGCCCTGGTGGCGCAGTGGTTAGAAGGCAGTACTGCAGGCTACTTCTGCCAGCTGCCGGCAGTTTGATCGTGACCGGCTCAAGGTTGACTCAGCCGTCCATCCTTCCGAGGTTGGTTAAAATGAGGACCCAGGTGGTTTGAGGAGGCAATATATTGACTCTGTAAAGCACTGTAGAGCGGTACATAAGTCTAAGTGCTATTGCTAAGGAAGGAAGGAAGGAAGGAAGGAAGGAAGGAAGGAAGGAAGGAAGGAAGGAAGGAAGGAAGGAAGGAAGGAAGGAAGGAAGGAAGGAAAACAAAGGGAGGGAGGCAGGGAAGGATAAAAAACGGAGGGAAGGAAGGAAGGAGAGGTTTTAGGTGCTCCAGGTAATTTTAAAGAAGATATTGGACAGCCATTTGTCTGAAATGGCATAGGGCAGTGGTGGTGAACCTATGGCACGGGTGCCAGCGGCGGCACTCAGAGCCCTCTCTGTGGGCACACGCGCCCTCGCCCCAGTCCTAGGCCTTCAGCTGGGTTTTATAAAACCTTTTCGCTTTAGGCCTCCGCCGTCGTGTACACACACAAAAAAAGGTTCAATCAATCAGTCAATTTCAACTTCTTGTGGGGGAAAAAAAATCTTGCAAAGTTGAAATTGGTTGATTGAACTTTTTAGTCCCACCCAGTCTGCCGTTACCACCTCAGCCACGCCCACCCAATGGGCCACGCCCACCCGGCACCCGACGATGCATAAGTGGGTTTTGGGTTGCAGTTTGGGCACTCGGTCTCTAAAAGGTTCGCCATCACTGGCATGGGGTCTCCTGCTTGAGTTGGGGGTTGGACTAGAAGACCTCCAAGGTCCCTTCCAACTCTTGTTATTCTGTCTCTTACCCAGAAGTAACTCCATTTGTGGTTCTTGGTTCTTGACAGAAAGCAGGTTAGCAATCTTAACCCATAGTAACCCAACCTAGTTAGTAGACTGTGAAGTCTTCAAAAGGCAGAGAAGTTTCTTAACAGTCCGGGCCTTCCGTTTTTCTTGTGTCTCTGCAGGCCATCTACGAACTTTCTCGAGGCGAGCAGGATTTGATTGAGGACCTGAAGCTTGCAAGAAAGGTGGGTCTCTCCTGGCTCTTGTTGACTTTGATTGATAAGCCTGCAAGGGACTCAAGTTTCTTCAAAGAGATCACTAGCCGTTGATTACCAGCCTTCCTTCTCCTCCTCCTCCTCCTCCTCCTCCTCCTCCTCCTCCTCCTCCTCCTCCTCAGTGGCAACCTCTTCCCAATAGCAGCAAGAGAGCCATCGACTGCGCAACCAATCCTCAAATTAACGACCACAATCGAGAACAGACTTTCCGTTGCTAAGCGAAGCGATGACGTGCTTCGCGGCCAATTTTACTATTTATTTATTTTTGGCCACTGTTATTCATTAAGCGAACCGCTGCAGTTGTTAAGTAAATCGACACGGTCATTAAGCGAATCCTGCATCCCCCCCCCCAGTTGACTTTGCTTGTCAGAAGTCCCCAACGGCGATCCCATCACCCTGGGATGCTGCAATCGTCGTAAACACCAAGCGCCTTGTCCGAGCATGCCCAGTCTTACTGCGCCGAGATAACCCAGCGGGAAACGCAGTAAATCGTGGTTTACGTTAAATGGTGGTTTATCTTACACTATTCTACAATATCATATACCAGGAACTATATGCATACACGTGCTAACACAGCAGGCTTCAACACATGGCAGTTACAGCAGGGAAGCGGGAAGAGAGAGCACACATCTGCAGAGTCTTCCCTTTTATACACGGCTCTTAAAGAGATACAGAGCCTGCTGGCTCTTCAAGGGACACAGACCCTGCTGAGTCCTTCCCAACATTACATCATGCGTCTTACATTACATTAGCTCAGGGGTCTTCAGCGTGGCTGGCTGAGGAATTCTGGGACTTGAAGTCCACGAGTCATCAAAGGGCCAAGTTTGAAGCCCCCCGCATTAGCTGTTTGGCTTTTAAATCATTACCTTGACACGCCTGAATTTGGATCTCTCCTCCTCTATCGCCAGGCTTACCACGACCCCATGTTGAAGCTGTCCATCATGTCCGAAGAGGAGCTGAGTCACATCTTCGGAGACCTGGATTCCTACATCCCGTTGCACGAAGGTAAAAGCACCGGCCCTGCCGAGCCAAGTCAGGATTTCTTGACATCCTGAACAGCTCGGGGCCAGACCTGCCCAAGTGACTAAGAAAGCAAATAGCTCCAGGAACGTGTGTCACTGTACAAATAATTTCACGCTCCGTTGGAATGTTCTTATCAAAAAAAGAAAAAAGTCAGATCAGTCATGGATAAAGCTATCTGTAAGGAAAAGCTACCTAAAAGAGCTTGGCAGGCTGTGAGCCCGGCAACCAACCATCAATGGTGGCTTCTCCAGCAGTTTTTATTTTTTATTATTCAGGATAAGATAAGATAGAATAGAATAGAATAGAATAGAATAGAATAGAATAGAATAGAATAGAAAATAGGGAATAGAATAGAAAATAGGGAATAGAATAGAAAATAGGGAATAGAATAGAAAATAGGGAATAGAAAATAGGGAATAGAATAGAATAGAATAGAATAGAATAGAATAGAATAGAATAGAATAGAAAATATGGAATGGGATATAGAATAGAATAGAAAATATGGAATGGGATATAGAATAGAATGAGTTGGAGGGGACCTTGGAGGTCATCTAGTCCAGCCCCCTTTTTCAGTGCCTTTGTAACTTCGAACAGTCACTAAATGAACTATTGTAAGTCCGAGGACTGCCTGCAGTTGTATTTTACGACACCTGTGTGTCTGGTTTTTGACAAAGCCCATACCCCTAGTGAGCAGTGAATTCACACTTACGACCTTTGCTCTTGCAACTGCCACATTTGCTTAAAGGCACCCTGCCCCTGGAGGACTTATCGCCTGTATTTATTTAAACGTTTTTAAAACGTCCTTCCTGCTGGAAGGGGGCCTTTGATGGATCTCTGCCTTTCCCTTGCAGCCTTCCTGGAGGAGCTGGGGGAGGTGACCCGGCCGGATGGAACGGTGGAGCGAATCGGGCCCCTCCTGGTGGCCTGGGTGAGTGAGACCTCGGGCCCTTCCCTACTCCCCCCCCTGCTTAAGGCCCGCTGACCCCAGCCTTTTGTCCACCCCGTTCTCGCTGATCTTTCTCTTTCATTTGTAGTTTGTTTGGGCCGCCCATTCCTTCTCTGCGACTCTGGGCAGCTTACAAGCAATAAACGTAGAAGAGAATAAAAAAACAATAACTTGATAGACACACACACACACACCCTGCCCCTGTTGGCTTGCAAATTGTGACTTTGTGCCTTCTCCTCCTCCTCCTCCGCCTCCTCCTTTTACTTCTCCTTTTACTTCTCCTTTTACTCCTCTGTCTCCTTTTACTTCTCCTTTTACTCCTCCTCTGCCTCCTCCTTTTGCTCCTCCGTCTCCTTTTACTACTACTCCTTTTACTCCTCCTCTTCCTTTTACTTCTCCTCTTACCCCTCCTCCTCTTCTCCTCTGTTTACTCCTCCTTTTACTTCTCCTTTTACTCCTCTGCCTCCTCCTTTTACTACTTTTACTCCTCCATTTACTACTACTACTCCTTTTACTTCTTTTACTGCTCCTTTTACTCCTCCTCTGTTTACTCCTCCTCCTTTTACTTCCTTTTACTCCTCCTCTGCCTCCTCCTTTTACTACTATGCCTCCTTTTACTACTACGCCTCCTTTTACTACTACTATTCCTTTTACTCCTCCTCTTACTCCACCTCCTCCTTTTACTCCTCGTCCTCCTCCTTTTACCCCTTCTCTTCCTCCTCCCCTTTTCCCTCCTCCTCTCCTTTCTTCCTCTTTCCTTCCTCCTCCTTTTACTCCTCCTCCTCTTACTCCTCCTCCTCCTTTTACTCCTTCTTTTACCCCTTCTCCTTCTCCCTCCCCCTCTCCTTCCTTTCTTCCTCTTTCCTCCTCCTCCTCCTAAATGTGGGCAACTGCTCAACGTTAGTTGCAGAAAGAGCGGATGTCTCTCTACCGCAGCCAAGCTTCGTTCTCTAACCAGCCTGGTGTGTTCTCCTCCTCCTCCTCCTCCTCCTCCCCCTCCAGCTGCCCGGACTGAAGGCCTACAAGGCCTACTGCAGCAACCAGTTGGCGGCCAAGGCCCTCCTGGACCAGAAGAAGCAAGACGCCCGGGTCCAGGACTTCCTGCAGCGCTGCCTGGAGTCGCCTTTCAGCCGCAAGCTGGACCTCTGGAGCTTCCTGGACATCCCTCGCAGCCGCCTGGTCAAGTACCCGCTCCTCTTGAAGGAGATCCTCCGGCACACGCCCAACGATCACCCGGACGTCCAGAGTCTGGAAGAAGCGGTAAGGGGGCTCTGCTTTACACACACCCCCTCTGGGTCCCCAAGGGTCTCTGAGCTGGGGGGTCTTCTGGCAGGCCTCTCCTGACCCAGCTAGGGAACGTCATCAGGGACAGAAGGGAGTGAAGAGGAGGAAAGGAAGGAAGGAAGGAAGGAAGGAAGGAAGGAAGAAAGAAAGAAAGAAAGAAAGAAAGAAAGAAAGAAAGAAAGAAAGAAAGAAAGAAAGAAAGAAAGAAAGAAAGAAAGAAAGAAAGAAGGAGGACTGTGGGGACCTGGATGCTCTCTGAGCTTGGTGGTTTTCTTGCAGACGTTTCATGACCCAACTAGGTAACATCATCAGTGCTAGGAGGAAGGAAGGAAGGAGAGAGAGAGAGAGAGAGAGAGAGAGAGAGAGAGAGAGAGAGAGAGAATGAACTGTCGGGTCCTTGGTGTTCTCTCAGCTTGGCTGTTTTCTTGCAGACGTTTCAAGACCCAATTAGGGAACGTCATCAGTGCTAGAAGGGAGGGGGGTTTGAGGAGTGGAGAAGGAGAAAGAGGAAGAAAAGGAGAAGGAATAAAGGGGAGGAAGAAGGAAGGAGGAGAGGAGGCGGAGGACTGTGGGGTCCTGGGTGCCCTCTGCACTGGGTGGTTCTCTTGCGGACATTTCATGACCCAACTAGGTAACGTCATCCGTGCCAGCGTTCAGTGTTTAGTCTAGCAGCGTTTCCTTTCCTACCTCTCCCCCACACTCTCTATTCCAGTCCCCAACTTCGGTTGCCAAGCCACCTTCACCAATGGATGCTTTTCCCTCCTAGATCTCCATCATCCAAGGAGTCCTCTCGGACATCAACTTGAAGAAAGGGGAGACGGAGTGCCAATATTATATCGATAAGCTGGAATACCTGGATGAGAAGCAGCGGGATCCGCGGATTGAAGCCAGCAAAGTTTTGCTCTGTCACGGAGAGCTGAAGAACAAAAACGGCCACGTAAGTGAAAATCTGGGAACTGGGAGCGAAGAGTGTTTTAAGATGGTGGCCTAGAAACTAGGGGACGGTGAGTTCTAGTCCCAACTCAGGCACGAAAGCCAGCTGGGTGACTTTGGGGCCAGTCACCAGGAGGCGGTGCGTTCTAGTCCCGCCTTAGCCATGAAAGCCGGCTGGGTGACTCTGGGCCAATTACCAGGAGGCAGTGAGTTCTAGTCCCAACTCAGGCACGAAAGCCAGCTGGGTGACTTTGGGGCCAGTCACCAGGAGGCGGTGCGTTCTAGTCCCGCCTTAAGCATGAAAGCCAGCTGGGTGACTCTGGACCAATCACCGGGAGACGGTGAATTCTAGTCCCGCCTTAGGCATGAAACCTGGCTAAGTAACCTTCGGCCAATCACCAGGAGGTTGTGAGTTCTAGTCCCGCCTTAGGCATGAAAACCAGCTGGGTGACTTTGGGCCAATCACCAGGAGACGGTGAGTTCTAGTTCTGCCTTAGCCATGAAAGCCGGCTGGGTGACTCTGGGCCAATTACCAGGAGGCAGTGAGTTCTAGTCCCGCCTTAGGCATGAAACCTGGCTAAGTGACCTTCGGCCAATCACCAGGAGGTTGTGAGTTCTAGTCCTGCCTTAGCCATGAAAGCCAGCTGGGTGACTCTGGGCCAGTCACCAGGAGGCAGTGAGTTCTAGTCCCGCCTTAGGCATGAAACCTGGCTACGTGACCTTCGGCCAATCACCAGGAGGTTGTGAGTTCTAGTCCTGCCTTAGCCATGAAAGCCAGCTGGGTGACTTTGGGCCAATCACCAGGAGACGGTGAGTTCTAGTCCCGCCTTAAGCATGAAAGCCGGCTGGGTGACTGGGCCAATCACCAGGAGGCAGTGAGTTCTAGTCCTGCCTTAGGCATGAAAGTCAACTGGATGATTTCGGGCCAATCACCCGGAGACGGCAAGTTCTAATCCCGCCTTACGGATGAAAGGCATTTGGGTGACTTTGAGCCAATCACCAGGAGACGGTGAGTTCTAGTTCCACCCTTAGGCACGAAAGCTGGCTTGGACCAATCAGCAATAACCGCCTTGAACCACATATTAGTAACAAAGGTGGGATTAAAAAAAAATAGAATAAATTCTTGAGGACAAGCCCAGAAAAGAAGGCCGGGTAGCTTCTGTTACTCAGTTTCTTGTTGAAGGTCTGTCATCCAATAAAAATAAGGATTCCTTGCCTTCTGCCAGCTGCCCTTATTTATTTCTTCTCTTTTATATATATATATATATATATATATATATATATA